GGGGTAGAGTACTTATGTGCGTGCAACCCTTATTTATGATGATCTATCATGATGATCTTTAGAGCAAAAATGTTGATGAGGCCTTGCACTATATACATTATCATATTACAATTATTGCTCCCTATCAATGATTGAAACGCTCTAAAGCTTTGATTAGACTGAGGTCGCCAAGGGCTTCTGTCCGGTTATCGTGCGCACTTCACGTGCTTGTTTTGGACGGGAGAATTTTGATACTACTTAGAGGGGGTAGGAGGCCTAATTCATTAGATTGAGAGGAACTTGAAGTAGGCAGTATATGATATTATTAGGGTTAATTACAGAGACACCCTCTGTCTTGTAGGAGTTGGCAAATTGGAGTTATCTCCAAGCATGGTTCTCTCTCTCTATTATTTTCACTTTAATATTGAAGTCTATGTTCACCGCCTAGATAAAAAGGCTAAAAAGTCTTTCTGCAATGCAAAATATTACGAAACCTCTCTACAAGAAACTGACGTTACGCGATACTCACGCATTATGGATACAACAACGGGGAAACAGCTTCAATTTGCAATCAAAAGTCAAAAAATGCGGAAAAAAAAAGCAGGCGATAATGAGTGACTATATATTTCCTTATAACGTAGAAGGCGTATCAATTAACCCTTCTTAATTAAGCAAGACAAAATTCCTGCGATTAGGATGCAAAGGAAAAGAAAATGAACTATAGGTATCATATTAATGGACAGGCTAATCTTACATATTGCATGGAGCAAACTATGCAATGAATTTGTGCTCATACAATTGTCACATCAATCATCGATCTTTTCTACTCCCGGAAGCAACGCAGGTTCAGATTCCCATCAATGATGGAAGACTTCAGGTTCAAATTTGGGGGGGTAAGCAAAAGATGAGGAAAAAGAGAAACTTTCATTTGACTATTTATAACAAATTATTTGAGTTTGTTGCACGTCCACAGACAAGGAGCATCACTGTCATAGGATACAACATGTCAACAACAATTAAAATCATATATATACGAGGGATTTGGATCTAAATTTTTTGGAAATATCACTTAAACCCATAATATGTTTTGACAGAAAACCCACAAAAATTAACACAGCTAGATGTGACGCCTCCGAACCTGCATTATATTTCGATCTACTTTCTAAAAGAAAAGATAAGAAAATTACAATTATATATTAGGAAGGAATCTCTCTTTCATGATTACTTACACTAAACATATTAGTTTATCAGTAGAAATAAGAAAGTTTAAACAGCAACAAATCATTTAGTCAACGTCCTTTATATATGCATCTTCTTTCTTCTCCTCTCTTTTTAACTTTCTTTTGTCTTTCTTATCCTTTTTGTTTTCCTATTATATATATAGATTTCTAGCTGTTGTTTTCCTCAAAGGAATATGGTGGGGATTAATTTGTAGGTGCAGCGACAAGTGATGCTTATTCAATCACCATGGAAAGCTTCCATCTTTGTCATACGACACTCCTCTGCACCTGGCATTAGTCAATTATCTTTACTAAAAAAAACCTCATTAAATTTGAAATTTTATATGTAGTATAAGTGAACTTTGGTTCATTCCTTTGCATCTTGCGTAAGTCAATTATCTTAATGAAAAAGCCTCGTTAAAATTGATATTATATACGTAGTATATTAGTGAAATTTTTCTTGAATTCAACAATATTCCAATAAAAATCATCTATAATGTAGTCAAACTTGTAGAATTTTGATTCGCACATTTTGGTAGGAAAACATGACCTCATGTTTTTCTTGTGTATCTCGGTATCAAAGCTATTACCATGTGAATATCTATTTATTATGTTTCTTCACTTTTATAATAATATAGAAAAGAAAAAGGAAAAAACCCTTTAATTAATTTGTTCAGGGTGGCCTATTGGTTTTCAAGACCAACCACCTAGAATCTTTTTCTGCATATGTTCTAGTAAAAAAAGAAGAAGGAATAATTAGTAGAACACATTAAGAACAATCACCTTTAACCAAATATAGAAGCCTACAAGTTGGTAAAATTAATGTAATCATGACCAAGATAGCAATGACACGGAAATCATTGCTGCTGGACGACAGAATAAATTTCTAAACAATTTCAAAGTGCCGTCTTAAAAAAATTAACATTACTTTGCTTTCAACGGCCTCACGCAATTAATCCCTCAATATATCTTGTTAATGTGTAAAAAATATCATGAGAACCCTTCTCTTGCTTTAGCTTCTGCTCTATATGAGAAACCACATGACATTTTTTAAGGATATATATCAACATTGAACAAACTTCTGTGCTCAAAGAAAATGATGACAATAATCTCAGTGAAGTGTAATTTATCGCCATGTTTATAATGATCTGGGACTGTTGTATTGTATTCTGTACATCTACTCCTGTTGCGTATGCGAGCTTACGATAAAATCTCATTTACCAGTTCAAAAAAAAAAAATCAGTGAAAATCTTGGTTACATATTTTTTAAGAAGACCAACATTGGATGCACATCACCATAGATTGATGACAAAGATATCAAGAATTTCATCTTATATGTTTTAGTGGATTTTTTTTTTTTAAGAAGTGGTGGTGATGTACAGTTTCATATTGATTATAGATTGTTTAAGGCCATCTAGCGCCTAGTATTTGTATAGCCATGTGCATGGTAGTTCAGATGGCTTTTCATGAGCTAGAGCTTACGGATGAGAGTTCTTATTTAAAGAAGAAGATAAGAAAAGACAAAAAAAAAACAATTATAATGTCACTAAACAGATTATATTATGCTAGTTATATATTACCCTACTATGCAAAAATCTAAATTGACTTCTAATTCAAGTTCTATAACATTATTCCATATGATATGATGATCATTAAGCTTATTATATTATCATAGTTGAAGTATAATAATAAGGATATATACCAACATTTCAAGGAGCCATTAAATACACAGAACATGAAGATATAAACTAGCAGAACTATCAGTATCTAATTCAAGTTCTACAAGATTATTCGAGATAATGATCATTAAGCCTATTGTTATATTATAATATTTGAAGCACAATAATGAGGATATATACCAACATTTCAAGGAAATCTCCTCCAAAGCTCGGAGAAATGAGACAGTCCTGCCTGATTCCAGAAATTAGTTGATATTTTATAAGTAACCTGAAAAATGTAGTAAACAGCCCTTATAGCTCAGTGGTAGAGCGTCAGTCTTGTAAACTGAAGGTCCGTAGTTCGATCCTGCGTGAGGGCATTATATCTTTCCAAAAGGTATAATTCTATTTTTAATTGTTTTTAATATATATTATATTATATTCAATTTCTTTTTGTTTATATCGCAATAATAAACTGTTAGCAAAAGAAAAGTTAGTTGTTTTTCATATATTATATTCAATTTCTTTTTGTTTATATCGCAATAATAAACTGTTAGCAAAATAAAAGTTAGTTGTTTTTTTGATATATTATATTCAATTTCTTTTGTTTAAACTCAATAATAAACTGTTAGCAAAAGAAAAATATTATAGTCCCAAACTCTTTTGATATATTATATTTAGTTTATAGCTTTTGTAAGTTTTTTTAGTTGTTTTTTATATACTATATTCAATTTCTTTTTGTTTATAACGCAATAATAAACTTTTAGCAAAAGAAAAATTAATTTTTTTGATATATTATATTCGATTTCTTTTGTAAGTTTTTTTAGTTGTTTTTTGTATATTATATTCAATTTATTTTTGTTTATAACGCAATAATAAACAGTTAGCAAAAGAAAAGTTAGTTGTTTTTTTGATATATTATATGCAATTTCTTTTGTTTATAACTCAATAATAAACTGTTAGCAAAAGAAAAATATTATAACCCCAAACTCTTTTGATATATTATATTCAATTTATAGCTTTTGTAAGTTTTTATTTTATTTTTAGTTGTTTTTTATATACTATATTCAATTTCTTTTTGTTTATAACGCAATAATAAACTTTTAGCAAAAGAAAAATTAATTTTTTTTTATATATTATATTCGATTTCTTTTGTAAGTTTTTTTAGTTGCTTTTTTAAATATTATATTCAATTTATTTTTGTTTATAACGCAATAATAAACACTTAGCAAAAGAAAAGTTAGTTGTTTTTTTGATATATTATATGCAATTTCATTTGTTTATAACTCAATAATAAACTGTTAGCAAAAGAAAAATATTATAATCCCAAACTCTTTTGATATATTATATTCAATTTATAGCTTTTGTAAGTTTTTTTTTTAGTTTTTTTTTGATATATTATAATCAATTTATTTTTGTTTATATTGCAATAATAAACTGTTAGCAAAAGAAAAATTAGTTTTTTTTTTTTGATATATTATATTCAATTTCTTTTGTTTATAACGCAATAATAAACTGTTAGCAAAATAAAAAAAATATTATAATCCCAAACTCTTTTAAGAGGGAAAGCCTATGAATCTTTAAACCAAGATAAGGACATTTATCTAACGACACTGATATCCAAATTATAAACTTTTTTCCCATTTTCAACTTAAAAAGGTGAAGTTTCCTTTCTAATTTATTAACAGGTTTATTCATATCGTGAAAGTGTGGCAAGCTTTCTCTTAAATCCAGCCGATGATTGCTCTATTATCTTCTTCTTCTTCTTCTTCTTATTGAAAAGAAGCTTTCCATGAAGCTCAAAAAAGATAAATTATGGGGCAGTTTATTTTTTAGTCAAAGTAGCTTTTAAATTAGTTTTCGGTAAAATCTCAAACAAGTTAGACTTATAAGACTCATTTTAAAACACAGGCATACCTCAGCTTTTGAAAAACTAGCTTATAAACTCACCTAAATAAGCTAGGTTTCAGCAAAGAAATTACTATTCTACCCCCAAATGTTTATAGCATTTTTACCCTAAAAGCCAAAAACCACAAAAGCCGCCTTTAACTTACAAGCTTAAAAAAAATAAGCCAAAAAATATTTCAACATGGACAAAATGCAACATCTTTGAACAATCAAACTCTGCATGGTAAACCGAGGATATAGAAATGGTCATTTAACTTACAAATACCGAAAATTTTAAACAGTCATTAACTCACAAAGACTGAATATTTAAAGAAAAACATCCCCTTATGATAAAAAAACCAGAACACCTTCATCGTTTCAGACGTTAATAAATCAACAAACAATCAAGGATTCATCAAAAATATTTCAAATTGAAGCTTGGTATTAGACCAGCATCGAGATATTACAATGCCTTGACTAATGCAGATTTTTGCGGATTAAAATGGGTAAGTCAAAGATAACTTCTGGGATATGAAAATCTTTGGTAATTTTGAAGTACATGGCTAAAACAAGCCCATATCAATAATTTCCTGGAAACTTGGATATCGTCCATGATATAGAATCATGATGCGCATAGATTGCTCACAATTTGATTCTTAATTGATTGCCCCCTGCATTGAACGGGAAAAACTAATCAAATGAAATTGTTCATCTGAATAGATGATTACACTGGACAAGATAAATTCAGATGCATTCACCCACAAAAAGGAAAAAATAAATGCAGAAACTGAAAAAAGACGGAAATGCACAAGTATCAAGAACAACATTGTCCGTAACTGACGCTCCAATTTCAGGTAATAAATAAATAAATAAACATTGCCCATAATTGCGAACAAAAGTCATGCGAAAACTTTTTAATTTCTCCTCGTAAGGCTTTTGAATGCATAAATATCACATGTGCTCTTCAACGTATTACATTATGCATGGAAATCTCTCCAGAAAAATGAAATTTAGATTTGCAAGCAAAATCCTAAATTCCTTCAGAGAACATAAAAGTTACATCCATAAATATATATTATGTAAGATGTCCATATCAGGTTTGAGTTCTGTATAAATATCCCCGTAAAATGTGTCAGATAAACTTCAGGTAAAATATAATTTCACGTAACAACCTTATACAGTTTGAAGTGGCCCCTACAGTCACAGACTCTCAGCCATTTCCCTAAATAATGCAAATGCAAAAAGTAATGTACGATTTTCTGCTCTCTTTTATGCAGAGAACTAAAGGCGCTGGCACAATATAGTTGTAGAGAACGAGGTGTTCAATATATTTTGAGCCAAAAAATAATACAAGTCGTAAAGTGCCTAAGTCAAAGTATCATTTGGAAGTCTAAATCTTGCCCGTGCATAAACACATGAGAATTTTAGCAGATTCAAACTAAATATACTATTAAACAGTAAAGCATAGTCTCCAGACCCCTGCCCATTCAGCTTAGTGAAATTTCAATTTTGTTCTCCACATAAATCGTATGTGCAGAATATTGTAACTTTGCAAACAAAATATTGGCTTGACTCTTCAACTGAACACAAAATGGTAGACATATCTAAAGTTGGTTGTATACAAATCATAATTCAAGTATAGCCTTTGGTCTATAAATGAAAATAATTTGATATGTCAAACATGTAATATGAATAAAGAGGCGTATCAGTGTATGTGAATTGTAAGACGTATTCCAAGAAGTGTATGACAAGTGTTATAAATTAAAAGATGTATTATATAATTGATGACATTTTGAACAAGTGGATGCACATGTTTGGGGAGTACCCAAGGAAGTGTGAGGGTATGCTACTTGTGACGAGTGTCGGACACAAGTACAAATTCATAATAGACAGAAGGAAAGAGGATCTCGCAACTGAGAGGCTGGCAATATGAAGGAGAGGATGTAGTCAGGCACATGGCGGTGGGGAAGAGAAGAGAGGACCACATAAAAGTTCAAGGTGTGGCACTCGCAAAGGCGAGAGGGAATGGCATCAAATTAAGGGTTATGATGCTCACGACTGCAGAAGTGAAACACGATGAAGAGGGACTTTCTTCGTCGCGGAGATACTTTGTTTATGATTGCGGAGGTGAACCCAAATAATCATTTGGTTTTATTTCTTAGAACGAGGGAGAAGAGATGGTAATTACTCCACATTTATTTTTTCATTTGTGTTTGTGCATCTTTCCTAGTTTACCCCTCCTTTAATAAATGAAATGATCTTCAATTGATTGAGATCATGACCAAATAAGCCCACCCAACAGTTATTGGATGAATAAATTTTTCCATCCACTTAACTGAATAATAGCATATCTATGTGTGTGTATGAGACTTTTAAACTTTAGATTAAAGATGCAATCAGTATAATGATCTATAGACATCCAAATCAAAAAATATTCTTTTTCTTTTTCTTAAATTATGCATAAATAAATTGGAAAACCCATCACTTAAGCTGCCTGTAGCAACACTTGAATAAACATTTAAGCCGTGTAAAGTGACTGAAAAGGATGATCAATTAGTTAAGGTTTGAAGTTGTCTTGTATACACTTGAGAAAACTTATGAATAGCTTTACATGCTAAAGAGGGAATCTGAAGGGCACATTAACACAACATGAATTCTAGTGTTATACATCCAAAGGAAAATAGTATGTTCATAGACCTGTTAAAATGAATATTTTACTCTTTGTAGAAAAATCTTAATGCATCATAGTTCTTCAAGATGGTTGCCCGCTCACATCAAGTTCCCAATAAGACCATTTCGTTGACACATGACATAATTCATGAAACAATTTTCGGAGGACTAAATGGTAGCTAGCAAATGAAAACTTCTCAAAATCAAACCACCGTGATAGCCAAAGTGCTTTGCCAGCAATCAACCACAACTGAATTTTGTACTTGATTTAGCTGCAGGTCCTACAAAAAATTTTCAGGCTCAGGGTCACTCAAAAGAGAAACATTTGAACACTGCCAGAAGGATTACTAGACACGTTTCTAGATTGAACTCTAACTCCAAACCCAAAATGAGTAGCCTGGAACCTGAGAACCAAGTCTACCACACAAAGAAGAATACAAACACGTTATTATATCTTCATTGAAACCATTCGAACACCGCCCTAAACTGTTACTATTTCTGTTTTTTCCTGAAACATTTGTGTACAATCAAAAGCCCAAGGGCAACTGAGAAGACTCAATAGAAAAGGGTATTTTGCAGAACAAAATTTAAGAGGCCACTGAACAGTTCGTTTCATATACAAACACAACCAGGATAAGAATTTTTCCGCGTGAGAAGAATTTTTCTTCCTAATAATCTGGCTCACACATGTATAAGTATTTTCCCATAAATGTTCTTTCATTAGTATCAGTGACTCATTGTGTAAAACAGAAATTAAGAATGAACGAAGTTAATGTTAAGTGCCGACCTGAAAGGATAAAATTTTAAGTTAATTGAAGAAATTCACTGAACTACAAGAAAGTATAGAGTGAAAACTAAAATGGTCATATGCAGTCATCAAGTTCTATTTGTTAAAGGTCCCTTCTAAATCACCAAAACCCTGAAATTATGGTGAAGATCCCTTTCACTACACCAAAACTCCAAAATCATTTTGAGGGTCAAGGGATATGCTTTTGTACTGTAACATGCCCGGCAGCTTTTCATATTTGAACATGTCTGGTGGGATTTTTTTTTTTTTTGTTCATACTTAAATGTGTCTCTGCCGGGATATGAACCCCGGATTGATCTGATACCATATTAAAGATTCTTTTTACTATACCAAACCTCCAAAGTTACGGTGAGGGTTGTGGAATATATTTTTTTATACTCTAACAATATTCACATAAAGGATCAATATATGATGTAACCCAAATCTTCAAAGCAATAGAAAGTACTAGTATAAAATTCATATTTACCTTACTTTAAGACTTACCTACAAGAAACTATGGTTTAGTCGAACCCGATTCCTTTGGAGTTTTCGCAACAATCGAAACAGCATGGAGCCCAGAGTTCAATTCGTCATCCAGAAGCTCATAAACCATCCGATGACGCTTCACAAGGCTCTGACCTTCAAACTTCGGCGAAACGATCTTAAGATTAAAATGGGTTTCATTTGGATCTCCCTTGACAGCAGCATGACCAGCATGCTGGTATGAAACATCTTCGATTTCAAGGACACTAGCTTCTAATGAAGATTGCAGCTTCTGCCTCATTCGGTTGGCTCTAGTTAGTAATACATTGGCTCCTCTTGAACCCATCTTTGATCCAACTATGTCCGCCTAAAATGGTTGATATGAATAATTAAGAATCTGAAGCATATAAAGTGAAAAAAGGAAAGTCGGTATATGTTTTTTGATGCCTTTTAGCACACTGCTTCAAATCTTTCTAACCTTATAGAGGGTGTTTGCGAGGGCTTATTTTTAGAACTTTGTATGCTGTTAGCTTTTCGTTGCTTTTGCCTTTTATGAAAACTAATAATAATGATAAATTGTATGAGTAGACTAGTCATTTGCGTGGTCAAAACCTAGTTTAAGTTTTGTTTTCAAAAGTTGGGGACTAGTCATTTGCGTGGTAAAAGGTAATTTGATCAACAACTAAGCTCCCCAAAACTCCCTCGTAATGTCTTGTAATCACTAATACACTCCTAATCTTTCTTTTTCTTTTTCTTTTTTTTTTTTTTTTTTTTTTTTCTAAACCCCCCCAAATTTTTTTTTTTTTTTTTTTTTTTTTTTTTTTTTTTTTTTTGCTCCCCTAGGGATTGAAGATATGGGCATAACATGAAGACAGACAAACCAACTACCATTACTTTATTTTGGGGGATAAACTAAAAGAGACTAGCTTGGGTAACCAATGGCTTTAGGTATTTAATTCTACAATATCAAAATTTTGGGAATTCTTCAAAATGCACGATATTCAGGGGCAAATATCTCAAAAACCCTAGAATAAGAACCCAGCAGGCGAAGTAATTCTAAAGAGGACAAAGAGCAGCATTCATTTCCTTTCAGGAAAAGATCTAGAAGAACAAGACAGACATATGAAATTAGAATAAATTATCGAGTAACTGTTTTAAAAATCCCTCCTTTTTTCATCCCTCCCTAGAATTTCGACCGAGCATCAAATTGATGGTAAAAATTGAATCTTTATGCTGAAAACTCGTCAACTGTATCCGCTAGTGTTGATTGGTCACAGTAAATAAGAGGATTCGATTAAGTTCTGGATGGAGAAACCCTAGCATCGATTTTTGTTTAAGATGAAAGGGAAATCGAGAAGAAGAGGGAGAAAACTTACGTATTTGATTTATTGTGAGATCGATTTCGAAGAGAGCGGAGCGGATGAAGGGGGAGAAATATTTTAAGAAATTTAAGCAAGGATTTCGATCAATTTGCTTCGAAGACGAAGGGGAGATTAGATATTTAAGAAATAAAAATTAATTTTAGAAAAAAAAAAAGAAAATATATGAGTTGCGGTGAGCGTGGATCGAACACGCGACCTTCAGATCTTCAGTCTGACGCTCTCCCAACTGAGCTATCCCCGCATTTACTTGAGTGAAATAATATTGGTAAAAATAATACTCAAGTTCAATTCACCCCAAGCCCTCTACTTGCGGATTATTAGCGGGGGCTTAAACTTAACGGGAGTTGAAGTTCCGTACTTATTTTTTTTCAAATTCGACTCAGTTTCAGCCAGTGCTGAAACTGAGTTAAATTTGGTAATTAAATTCAAAACATGTCGGTTTTTACAATTATTTTTCTAAATAGGTTGAATTTAAAAATTTGTCGGTTGTAACTTGTACATCTCAGCCAATTTATAGTTATCTTTGATCATCCTACAGATAGAGAGTTATAAAAGAATATTCTCTAGAAATTGAGAAACAACATAACCTGTAACAAAGATAACTATATAAATTGGAAATTAAAGAGGTTATGAGTGAAATAATGAGTGAAATCTATACACATTGACTATGATATTAACATGAAATAATGAGTGAAATGGTAACGTGAAGGAGGCTAATTCCACAGTCCATCAGATCATTAGGGTCAACCACTGTTGACAAAGAGGTTGAAAAAAAAAAATCAATTAAACTGCCTCCTCGTCTGATAGAAGAGAAAAAAAAAATATGCAGCGTATCATCTACGCAAGATTAATTTCCAAAGATGTAGACAACTTAGTTGACATTGACTATGATATTAGCTTGTAAGCAAGTACACTTAATTACTTATAGTTAATTAAGTAGTCTAGTAGATAATTTACAGAGAGCCAATAAAAAAATGTACAGAGAGCCAATAAAAAAAGGTTTGTGATGTATCAAAATCATGGCCTAAGTTGTGACGAAGCTAAAAACTAAAACTTATAGTTAATTAAGTAGTCTAGTAGATAATTTGCAGTGATGTAGGTAAATAGTTTGATTCTATGAAGATATGCCAACCATCCACATAGGACGTTCATGCATTGCTGTGTCAATTTGAATAGCTTATAAGAGCAAGTGCAGCAGCCTCCCAAAGAGGCTCCTAAGGGTAATGTGGCAAGGAAAAGCTCCCAACATGCTCCAACAAGCTCCCAAGGAGGCTCCTAAGTCGTAGTTAGCGGTGGGGGTCCACCATTGAGCTCTTAAGAACTTCACAAATTTGTGGAGCACTTGGGAGCTCTTTAAGTGGTGGGAACCCACTAAAAAATATTTTTTATTAGATTTATTGTTTTAAAATATATTTATAAAATGTTAGAGGTAGAAGAATGGATTTTTTAAATAATATTTAAGCTCCTAATTGGGAGTTTGTTGGAATATTTCTCCTAGTATGAAGCTCCTAAGTGGGCCCCATGCTTGAGAGCACTCCAATAAGAGCTCCCTACTATAGGAGATTGCTGCACCTGCTCTAATTATGTGAGAAGAACACGAAGACGTTAATTTGTTAAATATCTATATTCATGCTACATAGTTTAATAGATTGTTACTTATTTCTCGGTTTTCGTTGGTTCGTTTTCGCCGTGCGTCCGAGGTTGCAAATCTTCTTCTGATCATATATATAAAAGGAAGGGAGAAAATTAACCCCAAATTAAAGAGGGTGAAAAAAAAATTTGTAGGCACTCAAAACCCCAGCAGGCGACCCAACAAGAAACAGAGAACCGCTGCAAACAACAATAAACACTATCTTGATACCTGACATCGCGGCGATCGATCATACTATCAAAGGTTCTGCAAGCAACGGCTTTCTTCAGCTTACGACGATCCCTGTTTCTTGAAATCACAGCATGATCGGTCTCCAGGCTGCATGATTGTCGATAAGCATGTTCTTCACGTGGAGAAATCGGGTTGCATGATCTTAGTACTATCAGAGACGAAAAAAAGATCTACGGAGATCTCCTACAAACTTTACCCTGGGAGGTATGGTTGGTTATCACATTTTGTTGATGGTTCTAACTCTGATATATACTTATGAAATAATTCTCCTACTGCATTCAGGAGAAGGATTGAATTAGTCCATATACAAATTGCTCTTTTCTATCACCAATTGCTCGTGCTCATAGCCGCGATGTTCAACTAAGAGATGCAATCAGCGAAAATATCGTTACCGACATGGCCAAGACGTCGATAACATTCAACATCAATGTGGCATCAACAACCATTTGCAAGCGATCAATCAATCGAATCCTAAATAAAAGTAATGCATAGGTGAACACTTTTGTATATTAATGCTTGTACAGTATCAAGCAATCACTATTGTTGTATTATGTCAATGGACATGAGTGTCTGGCCAAATCCATGATTCACTCTTCTTCTTTCTACATTTAGGGAAAATGCCCTTACTAACTCTGCTTGCATACCTTGAGCATCGATGATTCAAACCAACCAGGACAGGTTTTAACATTCAGAATAGAAATCTTTTCGGTAAAACAAAAGCAACATCATTATACATTCATGGCTAGAATGTAATACCCAAATTACTTAAAAGGCAAAATAACAAACAAACAGAGCTGATCAAGAGTTACTAGGAATGACATCAAAGAAATGGTAAATCTCATCTTCGTCAAAAACACCAACCTCTGTTGCGCAAACTGAGCAGCAAACGGGGTAGAAAACCACATCCTTTTCAGCATCCACTCGGCGCCTGGACATTCTTGGCTTCTGCTTGGGCTGCCTGAGTATCTGATCACGCCTGATACTGCAGTTGGTGACAAACATTGCCCGGTACTGATTCACATATTTTTCATGCCTACATATTTCACAAAGAATTGAGAAAATGTAAATGATCACAAATAAATGAAGGGTTATATCTACCAGCATGCCATCGAGAGTTGGTTTCTTTACACACTATAAAACTGCAGCAATTATGAAATAACTGAAAGACGAAGTTTGAGCCTTTAATGTGAATGTCTCCATACAAGATGTCCAAAAAATCATAACAATTAGGTACAATAATTTAGCGAAAAAAGTTCCCCATGGTAATAATTTAGGGGATTTCCTGCAAAACACCAATAGTTAACTGAAATTTACTGTTACAAACTAACCTTTATGGGATAAGAGTTTACGTCCACAGTATGAGATATGCGCAAATCTCTTTTAACTGTCATGAAATTGATATTAGATTCCTGGTTGACCAGTAAGCCATCCCCGAGAGATGAAAACAAATGCCCCTGAGACTCAAGACTGACAACCAGCTACACTTAATAGCACATTATGACTACTATGCAACTACTTGCATACGTTTTGTCATTCCCAATAAACTTAATTTTTGAAGGGCAATGTTTATAATAATACCTTTGAGAACTCTAGCATTATCTTATATCGCAACAAGGAGATTGTGGCTGCAGCAAGCCCACTAGTGGCAATGGAGAAGAAGGGTGTCCTTTTTTTTCTTTTTATTTTTGGAGAGGAGGATGGAAACTGTTGAGTAGGAGAGTGGGAGAATTCTAGGACCAGCCCACAAAATTTGTCTTGGAAAACAACTTTGAGGGTTGGATTCGATCTTATTAGAATATACATAATAGAACGAGGTTCGGATTTAGAGAACTAGTTCAACTCTTAATCCTAGGCAACTAATAACACCATAAATCCCAATTCAAATCCAACTCTTAGTCCCAAAGCAATAACACCATAATAAATTATAAAGAAACCCTGGTCCTACCAAACAATCAAAGAATAACCCGCGTAAGAATCCCCAACTACATTTGAATAACTCCACTCCTGATCAGGGTGTACAGAAAAATTATACTTTCTTGCAAACAGAATCATTGATTTACAAAGGAGGTTCTCATCCACCCTCCTCTCTTATCAGACCTATTTAAGAACTTCAGGTGATAATTCCAATTTTTGCTCAATCAAATGCTGTAACGTGTCCCATGGGCTTGGGTTCTTAAACACCAATCACATAGACATATGATTGCTGCTGCCACTATTGTTCATTCACAATTCTTCATCTATCCCTTCTGTGAGATATTGATAGATTTTCTAATTCTTTGGTTGAATAGTAAAATTCCACTACAGATGCACATAGCATACAAGCCTGCAGCTTTTTTTCTGAAACCAAAAACACCATATCATATCACTATCAGAAATGTGCATGACTTGTGTGTAATGTGATTTTCCGTGAAATGTCCATGCCAACATATCCTTGTCTATTTATACTCATATCTTGTAATATGTAACTTCAGTGAACTCCTATCGTTTATACTCTATAATCATGTTAATCTATGGGCAAAACTATGTTCTCACATAAATAAACCACATATGAGATGTATGCCAATCTCTATATGATACCAAACCTCGTTTATAGTCTTCTTCCTCTTTCCTTTTCACCATTTTATTTTCTCAAATTTATCTATATATTTGATTTTTCTGTGGATACAAGGCCTATCATGAATGGCTAGATAAGAAAGAGAAAAGACAATGGGAGTCCTAATATAAAGAATGACTCTGGCTTCAACTCATTACGAGAACTGTCACCTATATGGTTGTCAATGAGGAGTTACTTGATATAAACAGCTCAAGTTCTTTGGCTCAAAGATATCCCCTTAAAATTTAAGTTCTCGTTTATTATGGCCGTGAACTTGAGTGTTACACAGATCAAATGTATTTTGGATGCACAAAAAGAACCATGTAAATTCGGGGATGATTGAAGCAAGTTTTATAATGGTAAGATACGAAGAATTACAAATATAGCCTACTTATGGTTTGAACCTATATTCATCAAATACGAGGCAATCTACCATGTATTTCATATAAGAAGATCCATCAGATGTCAATTGTCACGCCTCGCTTCCCAAAATACCGGGGAACCGGAACGTGAACAAGCCCGCGACGTATTAGATTAAGAAGAAATATACACTAATTTTTTTTCTTTCTTTTTTCTTTTTTTTCTTCTTAACCCAATACGCTAAGCGTCAAACACAAGAATATCAGCCACAGGTCCCCGATCACAATAGCAAGAATATAATAACCCAGAATAAAAAATAGACATATCATCAAAAGTAGATCATCCTAGACATAAATATAGGTCAAGCATACCCTAATTACAAAAAACAGTTCAACTAGGAATAAAAAAAATTACATAGTCCATAATAAAAGAAAATACTACCAAAAATGCGAAAACACTACTAAAACATAATAATCATAAGTCTAACTGCACACTGTAACCAGGTCGAGTACTAGCCATCCTAAAACTCACTGGTCCGCATCTCAAATAAAGTCAACATACCCTAATTACAAAAAACAGTCCAACTAGGAATAAAAAAAATTACATAGTCCATAATAAAAGAAAATACTACCAAAAATACGAAAACACTACTAAAACATGATAATCATAAGTTTAACTGCACACTGTAACCGGGTCGAGTACTAGTCATCCTAAAACTCATTGGTGCGCATCTCAAATAAAGTCAACATTCATATCACCAGATAACTGACTGTTCACAAATCTTCTACGTGCATCCAATACCGCTACACGAATCGGTCAGAGGACTACACGTAATTCGATCTCGGCCTGATCCGAACTCAGGCAAAGCTCAGGTGACGAAACAGATCACAGACTAAGATGACTACACGAATTCACTTTAGCCCAACAAACCAACCCCAGTGACTACACGAATTCACTGACGCGAGCCTGGAAGATACATCAACAACCACATCCAATCATATGAACAAAGACTTTCCCATCCCAACTCTTCTCGTTTTCCTAAGTTAAACATAATCAACGCTATCTCTGGTTCACCACCTAAATTCAGTCAACACACCCAGACATGTCACTAAGTCTGTTCATGATGCACGATGTCACTAAATCATGAACTACTAATGGTTCTCAAACACAACCAGGAACAATAAATAGGTCTAAATGATTCTATGCAATAACATGATGACATGTTAAATCCATTAAATTAAATCTCAAAACATGAAATATAATCATGAATAGTAAAATTACGCATGCAATCCGAATATCTTGTTATCCGAATCTCAAAACTACTCATAAAAATTATCAGCAGCTAAATAACATCAAATATAACTATGGTTAAAAAGAAAACTGAAAACCGTGATTGTTTTGCACATAAATATCACAGTCTACAACTACCAACACAAAATCATAAATTACTTAAAATCCAAAATAAATAATTCCTTTTGCAAATAAATTCCTTTAAATCATCATAATTATCAAAAATATAATTCTTTTGTCGAAAATAACTTAACAACTCAAAATGGCCCCTTTTTCGAAATAAATAATTTTAAATTATCTATTTTAATAACTATTCAAAACTAACCCATTTTCCAAATAAATTCTTTCTCATCATAATTATTCTAAAAATAATAATCTATTAATTCTTATCCTTACAATATCAGTTATTCTCATCTATCATCAAACAATCCACGCAAATAATTATATCACAATTTAAAAACTACAACCAATCACAATACAGTCAAAATATGCATATAATGTATAATAAATCTTAAATTCATATTTGAGCAAGAAGGATCTTGCATCGGGGTTCGTCGAACGAATCGACATTGACGTGCGAGTCCGCAGGTCTGATCTGAGCGAAAAACTACAACCAATCACAATACAGTCAAAATATGCATATAATGTATAATAAATCTTAAATTCATATTTGAGCAAGAAGGATCTTGCATCGGGGTTCGTCGAACGAATCGACATTGACGTGCGAGTCCGCAGGTCTGATCTGAGCGNTTGTGCTGGAGCTCGGGGACAAGGGGTTCGTCGGACTCGCGCGGAGGAGGGCAAGGCGGCGGTGCAGCGAGGAGGTTGGCCGAGGGCT